CTCTAAACTTTGATTAGAATGGCTCTATTGCTATAATATTCGAGCTCTATTATACTCTAGTGCTCTATAGTCATCTATTATAATACTTATATTGTGTAATTCCTCACAGAATATTTTACGAGTCTTATATTTTTGTCTTTAGTGCTCTAACTGCTATAAAATTTGATTAGAATATGAATATTATATATTATATATTTTAATCGACGAGTAAAAGGTTCAACTCAGACATAATCTAAAAGTTTCAGTACAATTCTTTTAATCAACTATTAAAAACCTAACTACCTAACCCAGACCTAACTCAATATATCGAGTCCATTTATCTTGACTCAATTATTTTCATCAACAAGGAAGAGATCTAACCCAAGCTTTCGAGTTAATTTATAACTACTATTAATAATTTGTAACATGTAATTCAATCAACAAACAGCTCCTGTATTTTTAATGTTTCAATTAATTTGTAAAATCGACTCGTAAAACTTGACCATGTCTCGATTCTAATAACTCGATTGCAGATTTTATGCACTTATGAAAATCGTATGGAAAACGTATGCAAAGTAGGCGAGGCGATTAGTGGTCGAGAGACTTGTTTGACGATCTATAAACTAGACAATGTTTAAAATTTATTTTTCTTTCAGAAAAACCATTGGGAATAGCGATATGAAATCTTCAACATACATCTAGTCGGATTTGTAGATATAATCTCAATCATTAAATTGTTGATATTGTTACGTTAAATGATTATTAAAATTAATATTCAATTTTACTAAAACTGTTAGTGAAATTGTGGCAGTGCTTGCATCAGTGATTAGAAAAATTCGACCAAAATATTGAATGCTGTATGAACATTCAAAGTAACGTTGAGGGACGCTGGAAAATCAAAGAAATATTTAGTAGGAGTCCACCCTAGGAGTGAATTATTTTCCTACAACAAATTTTAATTAAAGTTTACACTGATTAGGAACTTTTGGCCACGTCGATCGCGTTCGAGGAACGATTCTCGGTTACTGACAGAAATTACGTCACGTCACGGTTTACATGGAGAATCTTTTCCAGTAATGGCCACCGCTCGGTTAAGTCCCGAGGAGGATGCAGCTCGAAGGACGATTCGAGAGACGCGGATTTCGATCGTTATCCTTCCATTCGACGACTCCTTGCGACCCTCCATTTCCAAAACTATCAGACTGATTTTCTGCCATAAAAAAATGCACGATACGTACGTTATAGAATTATATTTCTAGAGCTCTAGATATAAGGGAGATATAAGAGCTCTAGAAACAATGCTCTAAAAGTAGATCTCTAAGATTGATAGAGTTCTAAGAATAGAGCTGTAACTATGATAGAGCTCTAAGAGAATAGAGTTTCGACCATTCTAGAGCTCTAAAAATAGATATAAAAAAAAAATGAAACAGTTCTACAAATAGTGCTCTAGAAATAGAGTTCTAAAATCAGAGCTCTGAAGATAGAGCTGTATATATGTAAATAGAGATGTAACAATCTGTATATATACAGGGTGTCCAGAAAATGTTGGAAGTTCTTGAAAGTGGTGGTTCAGGAGGTGATTTGAAACAACTTTTTCCTTAGCGAAAATGTTGTACGAGGCTTGGTTAAGGAGATATTAATGGAAAACACTGACCAATCAGAGCGCGAGGATGCCGGTGGAGCGCCAGCAGTAGGCGTGGCCACGCGTTACGCGACCGCCCTCCGCCGGCGTACTCGCGTTCCGATTGGTCCGGGGTTTTCCGTCAATATCTCCTTAACCAAGCCTCGGACAATATTTTCGCTAAGGAAAAAGTTGTTTCAAATCACCTCCCGAACCATCCCATTCAAGGTGTTACAACATTTTTGGGACACCCTGTATATATATGCATAAATAACTTAATTTCGTTTGGTAGCCTCTCAAAATTGTCAAATCATAGCCGACTTCAATAATTAATACCTTCTACAATTAATAACCCAGAGCTCTATAAATAGTGTTGCAACGATGATAGAGCTCTAAGAAAATAGAGTTTCGACCATTCTAGAGCTCTGAAAATAGAGATAAAAAAATAATACAGTTCTAGAAATAGAGTTCTAAAGTAATATAGCTCTAAAAATACAGCTCTAAAAATAGAGCTTAATTTCGTTTGGTAGCCACCTTCGTTAATTGACACCTTCTAAAATTACTATCCAAATAAAAAGTAATATTCTCTGACGTCGTTTTAATCGTTTCTATAAGCAAAAAAAGGGTCGTTAAATGCAGAAAAATCAAAATCTGAAAGTTCGGACCTTTTCCCGTTCCTCTGTGCTGTCTGGTGGAGGGTAGTGTAGACTAACGATGCCAGGTCTTTTCCTCCTTCTCTCTCCAAACTCTGTCTGAGAAATGGTCCTTGCTATTAACAAGCCGCTATCGGGACGATCGTGTTCGATCCACGAGTCCTTCGAACGCCCACGGTCCTAAAGAGACTCTGCTTTTGCTCTGGTAATCGCTTGATATGGTATGTCTGCAACTGCATGCGAGTTCCATCACCGAATTTGTAAAACGTACCGTTGTGTCGTGCACACTGGCTATTCGAAACGACTCGGGTCCTCGCGACCTCTGAAACTCAAAGCTGTAAACATAGAGCTCTAAAGATGAAGCTCTAACAACGATAGAGCTCTGAAATTAAAGCTTTAGGAATAGAGCTCTAAGACTGATAGAGCTTCAAACATAGAGCTTTAACAATTACATGGCTCCTAGTTTCATAAAGCTCTAGAAATAAAGCTCTAACAACGATAGAGCTCTAAAATTAAAGCTTTAGAAATAGAGCTCTAAGACTGGTAGAGCTTCAAACATAGAGCTTTAACAATTACATGGCTCCTAGTTTCATAAAGCTCTAGAAATAAAGCTCTAACAACGATAGAGCTCTAAAATGAAAGCTCTAGAAATAGAGCTCTAAGACTGATAGAGCTTCAAACATAGAGCTTTAACAATTACATGGCTCCTAGTTTCATAAAGCTCTAGAAATAAAGCTCTAACAACGATAGAGCTCTAAAATTAAAGCTTTAGAAATAGAGCTCTAAGATTGATAAAGCTTCAAACATAAAGCTTTAACAATTACATGACTCTAGGTTTCATAAAGCTCTAGAAATAAAGCTCTAACAACGATAGAGCTCTGAAATTAAAGCTTTAGGAATAGAGCTCTAAGACTGATAGAGCTTCAAACATAGAGCTTTAACAATTACATGGCTCTAGGTTTCATAAAGCTCTAGAAATAAAGCTCTAACAACGATAGAGCTCTAAAATTAAAGCTTTAGAAATAGAGCTCTAAGATTGATAGAGCTTCAAACATAGAGCTTTAACAATTACATGGCTCTAGGTTTCATAAAGCTCTAGAAATAAAGCTCTAACAACGATAGAGCTCTAAAATTAAAGCTCTAGAAATAGAGCTCTAAGATTGATAAAGCTTCAAACATAAAGCTTTAACAATTACATGGCTCTAGGTTTCATAAA